GGTTCTGCTGTCCCCCGATTCACTTAGAGGGCCTCCTGGGGGCCCCTAAAAGCGACTCTTCAATCGGACACAAGTTTGCGTTTTCAGGCCGACCTTCCCAAACCCCATCTCCTAATCTGACAATAATCTGGTCAAGTATTTTCACATGATGTGTTAATAAATGTCAGTATATTCAGGGAGATTATGCCAAGAAGATTAAAGATCACGCTAGCCCTTCTGAATCTTGTAAATCGCAAAGGACTCTCAAACCAGGGGGAAAAAACGCTGTTTTCCAAATTTCCAGAGCCAATTGTGAGGGAGTTTTCAGGAAAGGGGAGGCATGCAGGCACCGAGGTTCCCCTGGTGCTCGTGTGTGCACACACATGTACACACACACACTGAACGTGTGAATGTGGTGCTCTGCATTCAGAACAATGGGAGAGCCACCTGCCGTGGTCCCTAATCATTAAACACAACCTCTTCAAACAGGAATGATATCTGAGAGCGGGAACTGAGTCCTAGGGTATTAGGGAAGCCTGTTGTTCTTCAACTCTGGAACCCTTGTTCTTGTAAGGGCTTTTCTTTCGAGCCTGGCCACAAGGCTTGCCATAGTGATAATTAGAGATTGGGTCACCAACAAGTCACCTTTATGCAGTGATCATTTTTTGTCTTAATTACCTTGAGTATCATATATATGTGTATCAGAAGCAGAAGAGAGACAGACGATGGCGAGGTAGGCAAGTAGCCTGCCGCTATTCACTGGTTCACCAGGAACTCAGGATGAATGACCAGGATTTAATGATACATCGTCTCCCAAGGTTCCAACCAGCAGGAAGCCACAGTTGCAGCGGACACCCTCCCGGCCACTCCAGTACAGGCTGTAGTCTTCTTAACCAGTTTCTCAACTGCTCAGCCCACTTTCTGAGTCATCCTGGCCGTCTTGAATCCACATGTTCCTTCCGGGCAGGTCTAAGTAGCTCCAATTTTATACTTTCTCAATGTCCTTAGTTTTTTTTCTTGTAGCACCACTTTCTGACATATAGTGATTTGTTTACTACCTCTCCTTAACAGAATGAACGTTCCAGCGAGGTAGGTTACTCATTTCATTCATTGCTGCATTGCCAGTACCTAGGATGAATGTATAAATGAAGGAAGACACTTCCTCCCAGGCTGACTTTCCCTTAGGGTCTCAGCCCCATGTGGCTGTGCTGCCACACTAGAGAAGCAGTGGCTGGGATGTGGATTAGAATGGAAGGTATATTCCAAGGAGTAAAGAGTATGCAGCTTTCTTTAGCGAATGGCTAACTAGTGAAGAGCTGCGTGCAGTCACAGAAACCCTCTGGTGTGTAACAGGAGCAGGAGGTAAGCCCAGCTTTCCATCCTTGACCCTCTCTGTGCAGGTGCCACAGAGCACTCCAGGCTGCGAAAAACAAACAGAAAAATCCAGCCGCCTGCACAAGTGAATGTAGCTTCCATAGTGCACTGCCAAGTGGCTAGCTTCACGTCCTGCTCCCATCCTTAATTTCTGTGAAAGGGGGTGAAAATGTATCTGGGTTTTCTGAAGACCTAAATCGTGCATTCAAAGTGGTACCCAGCCTCCAGTATATGACTCCCCCTCCCCTCCCCAATTCTATGATGTCAGATGATGTGAGGTATAAGGCAAAAAGTAGGGGGAAATTAGAAACACAGCTGCCATAATGTGGAGCCTGGTCTAAGCGTCCAGCTGAGGTGGTGGGATTACAGTGGTTAAGGTGGCCAATCCCTGGGAGGGCCGGGGGAGGAGTCCTGGCAAGCTGGCAGGCAGGACCCCAAGGGTGTCTCTGAGATGCAAAGAAACATCCCAAAGGAACTAGGCCATTTTGCAGGTTCATTCACAATTAGCAAAACAGTAGTTACAGCTAATAGCACATCATCACCGCTCAGGGGGAACTCCTACTTCACCTAGTAAGAGGCTCAGGTGTTTGTCATCATTTGGACAAGGAAGGATGCCTTGGAGAAGAGAGTTGATTTAACTGGATTTGCACTTCTAGGAAGAGCTGGGGGCATAACTCAACCTCCAGCGTACCTTTTAAGCCACCCTTCTTCACATCCTGCTGTCAGAATGCACTTCATTAACTATGCCAGGAACATGAAACCAAAGGCTTAGGTCTCCCGGTTTCCGAGGTGTTATTGTTGTAGGGTATTCGACGCGAAACATGGCAGACAACTCCAGTTTGCAAAGCAGGATTTGTTTAGGGGGAAAAAAGGGAGGGGAGGGCTCCTGCCATGGTGGCTAGGAGGGAGCTCCACGTATCCTAAGCAAAAACCCCAGACCTCCTGCCATAGCGTGGCACAAGGTCTGGATCCAAGGAGAGAAAGAAAACCCGAGACAATGGCGGAGATGGTGTCTTATGCGCCAGCTCAGGGGAGTTACTCAAAGGACAAATCGTTCACAATTGCATCTGGTTTTGAATCAAACCTCAGAAGGGTGGGACTGGTTCTAACTTCCTCCTCCCATTCCAATGATAAACTGATCACTCTGGCGTCATCTCTTGGACAGTGACCCACAGATGAGATTAGGTGGGTCGCTTCTCTCTTTTGTTACAACTCTGAGATGGTGAACTGATATGTTAATTTTGCCCCTTTGTCCTCCCTCAAGAGGAGAGGGTGCCCTTGAAAGAAACCTGCTCTTTAAAAGGGGGGAGGGACGGGAGAGAAATACGATTTTATATTTTTTTAAAAAGTAACACCAAGGACCAAAAATCATGACTGCCTGCTATTCCGTCTGACTCCTCACACATTATCCTCCCAAGCCCAGGCTTAGACTCAGGTCAGTTAATTGCACTTTTAAAATAGGTAAGTAGAAACGGAACTTCCTCCCCTCCTGCGGCCGGAGGGCCTTGGCTGAAAGACTTGGCTGAGTTGGGCTGTGGGACACCGCGCCTCGCCCCAACCCGCCCCCGATGCGGAGGACTGCGGTCTCTCTAACAAGGCTGCGGGGTGATCGGGCTGTCAGCCCAGGCCCATCTGGAGAGCACCCAGAGAAAACAGCAGCGCGGGGGGGGGGGGGTGTCGGGGAGGACAGCATTTTTCCAATGGTTGCCCAAAAAAAGGCACGGAGTGGAGCGTGGAACGGCCGGCTTTCGTCGAAGCTGCAGTTCTCGGGGCTGGCTGGCTGCCGGCTGCAGAGCTACAAACTTGGTGTTTGTTTGCTTGCTTTTTTTCGGGGGGGGGATGTCTCCCCAAGCAGGCGAGAGGCGGGTGACTGCAAACGCAAACCTGCAGCTGGGTCTCAGCAGGCAGCCCCGTGGATGCGGGGCAAGGGGAGACCCAGTGACCTCAGGTGCCCTCGCCGCCTTCAGAGCAAGCACAAAACGCAGAGACGGACGCTCGGAAAAGCCGCTCCCCGCCGGGCCCCTGCCCTGGCTTCCGCCTCCCAGACAGCAGCGGGACAATGCGCGGCCTCTTTTCCGCCGGGGGTTAGGGAGGGGAGGCCGGATTAGAGCCCGCGCCTTCCGGCCGCAACCCCCTCCTCCGCGCGCCGGCCGCGCACAGGTGGTTTTCCGCGGGGAGGGGCGCTCGGCACTTTTATATAACAATGGGGCTCGGCGCGCCGGCGGGCCTGCGTCCCCTGTCGCCGCCACCCGCCCGGCCACGCCTCCACCGGCCGGCGCTGGGGGAGTAGCCACTGCTCGTGGGCCTAGCCCGCACCTCCCCACGTTACCTGCTGGTTCTGCGGGGGCAGAGGCGTTCCTCACGACTCCCACTTTGGGAGCCAGGAAGTCCCGGCAGGCACCAGTCCTCGCCACCCACCCGCCCGCGGTCTCCAGGGATCCCGGAGTTCCGCGAGCAGCCCTGCATCACTGCACCGGTGGCGGGAGGCCCCGTGTCCGCGGAGCGGGAGCGGCGGGACAGTGGGGTGGGGAGGCGAGCAGCCCAACGCGCAAGCGCGGCCCCCTCCCCGCCAAACCCACAACCCCCTACCAAGGGATAGGGGCGGCTGGAAAGGCACCCCGAGGACCTGCCCCCACCCCCGGCCTCGGCGGTGACTTATGCCTAGCCCTCCCGTTGAGAGCTGGCAAGCTTTCCCTGAGGACCCCCGCGTGCTTCGCCGAACGGGCAGTGAGGGTCGGGCTCGGTGTGTCCCGGAATCCAAGCTCCATGTCCATAATTCGTGAAGGATATGCGGGCCGAGCTGTGTGTGGGTGGTGACTTGGACCACAATGGCTCCTAATGCTCTATACTGCAGGGAAGAGTAAAAGCAATGGGCTGCAGGCAAGTTTCTCTGCGCTGTTTTTTTTTTTTAAGTCAAAGCACTATTTAAAAAAAAAAATTTTTTTTTTAAGGAGAATCCAGACAACCAAAGAAACCAACTGTATTTGCTTGCAAATGTTTAAACAAAATCCCGATTTGTTTCGAAAGATGTTGGATTAGCATTTAACACCTCGGCGGTCACTAAAGCCCAAGGCAGTTCACGAGTCCCAACACAGACTCAGCTAAAAGAACATCAGAGCAAACAGAGCTGGGCTTTTAAAAAGTGGGAAACAAATGCCACACACCGCCTAAAGGAGGGTGGGGGTTAAGGCGAATTCGCGTCCAAATGAGTGTGAAGGGAACAAAGAGGGGGAAAAAAGTCAGCCCAAGTTTCCCTAAAGCTACCTCGCGAGCACCCGCGTCGCGAACAAGGGCCTTTGTGCATACTAATTGCACCATTTGTGCGCAAAAGTTCCGACGCGAAGTGTGAAGTCTCGGCCGAAGGAAACACGAGACAACTCAAGTGCCCCGGTTTCTGTGCCCTGCTCCTCCTCCACCGCCGCCTCCTCTTCTTTCTCCTTCCTCCCGCCGAGCCCGCAGTTGCAGCTTGTTTGCACTGGGGCTTATCCGGAGCGGAAATTCCTTTCCGTTTTTGTGAATGACAAACTCATTAACAATTCATCAACACAACCTGTTCCAGCCGGCCCGTCCCCACGGCAACAGCCCCTTCCGCAGCGCGCTCATTGGCTGGCCTGGAGAATGTATCCATTGAGGTGCTTGCTGTTTGTATCCATTGAGGAGCTGCCTCGCGCTGGGGGTGTGCGAGGGTAGAGTCCTGGGGACAGTGAGCAAATCGACTCTTGGATAATCCGCTGGGGAAAGACGCTCCGGTAGATTTGAGGTACAGCCTCAGAGGGAGGGATTAGCAGCCGTTTGACTCCCCCCCCTTCCCTTTTCTGCTTTCGTAGCGCGGAGTCCGAATTAATTGGATTTCATTCACCGGGGAGGAACAAAACTGGGCAGCTTCATTCAGAGGTTCACTGACACCGAGCGCCAGCAGCTGCGGCTGGGTGCAGAGCGAACCGCCGGCTTGACTTCTGAATCGCCGTCTCCGACCACTAACCTCGGTCTGGAAAAGACGAAGCGAGATTAAAATCCGCTCCAAGAGCGGCGGCTTCGCGCGGCGCGCTCGGCCTATGCCTGCCCCCAGGGGCAACTGCTAGGCACCCCGCCTTCTCCTGCAGCTCGACCCCCATGATAGATACGCTCAGACCCGCGCCCTTCGCGTCGGAAATGGCGATCAGCAAGACGGTGGCGTGGCTCAACGAGCAGCTGGAGCTGGGCAACGAGCGGCTGCTGCTGATGGACTGCCGGCCGCAGGAACTGTACGAGTCGTCGCACATCGAGTCGGCCATCAACGTGGCCATCCCGGGCATCATGCTGCGGCGCTTGCAGAAGGGCAACCTGTCGGTGCGCGCGCTCTTCACGCGCAGCGAGGACCGGGACCGCTTCACCCGCCGTTGCGGCACCGACACGGTGGTGCTTTACGACGAGAGCAGCAGCGACTGGAACGAGAACACGGGCGGCGAGTCGGTGCTCGGGCTCCTTCTCAAGAAACTCAAGGACGAGGGCTGCCGGGCGTTCTACCTGGAAGGTACGCGCCCCGGGCGCACGGGGTATGGGGCAGGACTCGGGGCTACAGGCTGCGGGCCGGGGTACCAAGCGAGGAGTCGGGAGCCGTGCGGGGATCTGAGACCCGCAACTCCGCTTGCTTCCCACTTTTCCTTTTTTATTACATTTTTGAAGTTAAGATTTGCGGGATTGGGTCTGGGGCGAGTTGAGATGGTAGAAATGTTGCCATTTTGCGCATTTCCGGATTCGAAAGAGTGAGGGTTCCCAGGGGAGGCGGCCCGGTTCGAGCCATTTCCGAGGGCACACATGTCAAGTGTGTTTTCTAGTATCTGGGCCTACGCGTGAGGGGGTTCCAAGGGCGCTTGCGGTGTTTCCTGCCCCCGGCTGCGGTTCTCACGAGCTGTGAAAACTACTACTGCATCTCGGGTTACGCGGCTCCTTCTTCTCGTCCTGGCAGGTGGCTTCAGTAAGTTCCAAGCCGAGTTCGCTCTGCACTGCGAGACCAATCTGGACGGCTCGTGTAGCAGCAGTTCGCCGCCGTTGCCGGTGCTGGGGCTCGGGGGCCTGCGGATTAGCTCCGACTCCTCCTCGGACATTGAATCTGACCTCGATCGAGACCCCAATAGTGCCACGGACTCGGATGGCAGCCCACTGTCCAACAGCCAGCCCTCCTTCCCCGTGGAGATACTGCCTTTCCTCTACTTGGGCTGTGCCAAGGACTCCACCAACTTGGATGTGTTGGAGGAGTTTGGCATCAAGTACATTCTGAATGTCACCCCCAATTTGCCCAATCTCTTTGAGAACGCAGGAGAGTTTAAATACAAGCAAATCCCCATCTCGGATCACTGGAGCCAGAACTTGTCCCAGTTTTTTCCTGAGGCCATTTCTTTCATAGGTGAGATGAATTTATAATTGGGGCTCTGACTTAAAATGCCAAAACTCCCCCAGTCGTGCCTAGGGGAAGCTGTTGGCCCTTATTGCTGCTTGATTGTCTGGCTGCAGCTCTGTGAGGTTCTGGGGCGGGGGGGGGGGGGTCTTAGTCCTGGTTGATCTTTTTACTAAGCAGAAGGAACATAATGCCATTTGATAGGAGTGCAGCCCTCAGGTGTATTTCAAGTGTTCCTTCCTTTTCTTGAATCTTCTAATTCAGTCTTTTGAAAAGGGGACTTTTCATAGAAATGGGACAGCAGATTCTTCTGTCTTGCCTCCCCTCCCTCGCTAAGTCAAAGCTTTGGGGGAAGGGTTACATTAAAGTACTCGCTGCAGGCTGAGGTTCTAACGGTGCTGTATAATTTAAGAAGACATGGGAGTTAACTTTAGGACATCCAGTTAGCAGTTGGAAATGAATGCTGAGTTCCCCAGTCCAGTGATACTACGATACACTGGTGACAGCGAGACAGAGTGGGTAACCTGACCCTGGCAGGAAGAGCCGTGGGCCGCAAGCCTGGGAGAAGTGAATCTCTAGGCATTGTAGTGCATTTCCTATTACAAAGGAACTCATTTTCAGGCCTTGTCTACATCCTGTTCCTCCTAATGGGCTGTCCCCTGTGACTTCCCTCTCTCTTTTCAAAGGCTGAATACCTCTATTGTTAGCTACACAACAGTTGGAGAATAATTTAATAGACCCTTGCAGTCTGCTCGCCTGTATGAAAGGCATGCACCACCATATTGCAGGGTTTCTGGTATTCACGTGCTGAGGCCAAGAATGCACACATTAAGGAGGCATTTTTTTTTGGCAGAAACTTAATACAAAAGCTCCCTTTTCAGAAAATATTTAAAATATGTAATTGTGTCCAGTGTACATGTTTTATCTCAGTGGTGTATTTTCTGTTTGCCTGCAGGGCTTAACTGGCTTACACACAATTCTTTTTAAATTTCGTTTTTAGACTAGATCATTCAAGAGGGTGGGGTGGGGTGTGGAGGTTGGTTTTTTTTTTTTTTCCTTTCAGTCTCCCTGAATTTTCACCTGTGTTCCTTCTGTGTTCTCAGATGAAGCCCGGGGCAAAAACTGTGGTGTGTTGGTACATTGCCTAGCTGGCATCAGCCGCTCCGTCACCGTGACTGTGGCTTACCTGATGCAGAAGCTCAACCTGTCCATGAATGATGCCTATGACATTGTCAAGATGAAGAAATCCAACATCTCCCCTAACTTCAACTTCATGGGCCAGCTGCTGGACTTTGAGCGGACACTAGGCCTTAGCAGTCCCTGTGACAACCGGGTGCCAGCGCAGCAACTCTATTTTACCACCCCCTCCAACCAGAATGTCTACCAGGTGGACTCACTGCAATCCACGTGAAACACCCTGGGCCCTTTGTTGCTGAGATGCGTGTTTCTTCAGCAGTTTCTCCAGCAGCCGGGCTGCCTCCTTTGTGTGTGGCCCCAGGTGTCCAGATGACACCAGATGTCCGCATCAGACGAGGTTACCGAGTGTGGAATTGGTTATTGCAAAGGGAAAGGTTTGCTCCGTTCTCTTTGGATGAACAGGACCCACTGTATTGGTACAGGCAGTGGGTCTGCTCCACGCCCATGTGTACACACTACCCATGCAGGGACTGGAATGCGAGGACGTCCAGGTACATAGGGTAGGACCAAATGGTGTAGGGTTGGAGCATGTATTCTTTAAGACCTCGTCTGGCTGTTTCCTTTTGCATCTGGACCCAAATCTATATTGTCTTCAGTGAAGACTGACTCAACTTTGCATATAGAGGAGCCAAAGAGATTCAGCTCTGTGTTTGTGGTATATAAGTTGGGGGGGAAGGGGAGGAGTATTCAGATACTCCATTTGATTCTTGTAAATATTTGATCTTAAATCAGTTGACGGTGTTTGGATCGTGTTAAACACATTATTTTAATTGATGGGTTTAAGACATCATCCAAAGGGAGAAAGAGCAGTGTGCCACTTCTTAGAACAACAACAAAATAAAATGGAAGATTTTGCTCTTTTCTAATCCAAAGGGTCTATTTGTAGCATGCTTGACTTTACCCAACCAATTCTGATGACATTTTAGTGGACAGTTACCATGAAGACTTTGTTATGGTGCAGTCTTCAGTCTTTCTCATATATCATTCTTGTGATTTTTTTTTTTTTTGGTCTTAATATAGTTGACTATGCCTTACCTTTGTAAATATTTTGGCTTGTGTTGTCTCAAAGGGGATATCTTCGAAAGACACCAAAATCATGGGCTTTTTTTTTCCTGTTTTTAAAGAGCGTCAGCTGTGCTAAACAGTATATTACCTCTGTACAAAATTCTTCAGGGAGTGACACCTCAAATGCAATACTTCGGGCTGATTTCCTTTTTAGAAAAGTAAGAACTGGAAGTGTGTGAGCATGGGTACCCATTTGGTAGGTGAAATGCGAATGATTGTGAAGAAGGGAGAGTTCGGTTGCTCCATTATGTTCATGATATAAAGTGTTGAGCTGGAATTTATTATAAGAATGTAAAATCTTAAATTATTAATAAATAACTATTTTGGCTATCGAATGTGCATTTTTGGAGGAAAAATTTTAAAGCTCCCCTTGATCATACCTGCATGTGAGATAAGCCATTTGGGAATAGTTTCAACTGGGGATTGAGCTTGACTTGTAGGAATTGCAGGGGAAAGTTTTTTAAGTTTCAGTGATTCTTAGCACATTTTCCCGGAATAGTTTATGAAATTCATTCTTGGCTCCAAATATAGATGACATCATAGAAGAAACAGAGTATCATGTTCACAGGCAGTACTCATTTGGGTTTATTTAAGAGGATTTTAATGCCCCTGAAAAATGGAGCCACAGAGCATACCTTGCAGAGTTATGGGATCTGGCTGTCCACAGGGTGTTCATACAATGTATGACAATAATTAGGTGTCATCCCTATACTGACCTTTCCAACACCTCAGGATCCTTGCACAGTGTAAGGAAGTAGACTCATCCTTTTTGAAATCTGTTACTGTCTGGCAGTTCACCTGCCAAGGTATCCAAGTGTTGGAATACCAGTGGCCCCTTTGCCCTTCCCATGCGTTTGGCCAGGCATAGCTGAGCTTCTCACTGAGACTGGATGTGGCTTTAGAATTTTCCAGTGTCCCATGGGTTGGACTGCTGTTCCTGTTGTGGAGTGCCTTAGTGTGGGCCAGAAACACCTTTGGAACCTACGTGTAGATGTATTTTGAAAAGTTTGTTTCAAGCTACAGGCTCACTACCCTGCTGTTGGCCTTGGGATCTTCCCTTCTTGAAGCAAAAAGTGTACAAATCCCAGGAGGCAAATGAATGGACCAGAACATCCTTACATTTTGGGCTGAATGCAGGATTACAGTCCCTTTATCTGAACCGAGGAGAGATGAACTTTTCACCTGTACAACACAAGATGTACACTCAGACACGTGAGTGATGTAATGTACGTTTGGGGAGAAGGTGCATGAAACCATTGAGTATGATTGTCTTTTTTTTTTTTAAGCAATTAAATATAAAAGCCCACAGAAAAATAGTGCAGAAAAATACCAACTTGGTCTCCTATCTGGGTGTCCCAAGTCAGTAGGAATAGAGAAAGGAGAAGTGGATTGCCGTTCAACTTGGCTCTGTGCTAATCCAGTTCTGAACCATTTCCGCTCCTGGCATTCCCTAACCCGCCTGTTCAAAGTAGGGATTTCCAAGTAGCGTTAGCAATTTCCTGTCCAGCTGCAGCTCAAGTCGCTGGGTGCCTCTCCCCTCCCTTTCTTTTCTCCGCTTTCTTTTCTCTTTCTTTTTTCTTTCTTCTTTTTTTTTTTTTTTCGAGTATGAGATGTGGATAATTTTAGTGCATTTCCTCTTTGTGGATTGTCATCTCTTTCCTCCTAGAACCTGCATGCGTTTGAGTTCCTACTGCTGAGTTCCAGCCGACAGCTGGCCTCCCCAGCACTTCCTCTCGTTCCACTGTGGGTTGTTGTTTGTCAGTCCACTTCTGAAATTAATAATGTTTTCTGGCCGAGTGCCACAAGCCATTACCACAAAGGGGAAGTAACACACATGAATAGCAGGAAGCCATGCAGGGTCACAGTGTGAGCTGAACCTGTGCAGGGAGCATAAAGGAGCCTGGCCCATTCAGTGAGTGGCTCACAGCGATTTGGAGGAGAGAGGGAGTCGTGGTTAGGCAGCTCAAGCTGTGACCACACACATACAAAAAAAGGTCCCAATAAATTGGGAGCGAGTAGTCTTTGTCACAGGTCTCCAAAGAGGAGAGAGAGCAAGAAGAGTTTAGGGCCCCCATAAAGTTGGCATGTTTGGGATTCTGCCCCCGCATCCCCTGTGAATTGTTTCCCAAGGCTGCTGACCAGAGGGGTGCCTGTGGTCCTCCATCTCTACAAAAGCACTCATATTCCCTGGGTGGTTTTTATGGTTCGCAGAGGCCAGAGATTCAAAGAGCTATTTCCCCGCCTGCTTCTGCTTCTCCTGCTTCTGCACAAGGTGGAAAGTTGTGACTGACAGCCCGGGTTGGGGTGCAGGGAGGAAACCACCCTGCCCAGCGCCTCCCGTTACTCCTGGCAGTCCCGGGGCTCCTGTGAGGTCTTTGTGCTGGCTGGAGCCCTGGAAGGCGATCATTTTGCATCTTGGAGTTGGGCTGCTTCCTGAATGGAGCCCAGCGCGGTTACTAGGGCAACCTTCAGCCCCAGTTTAGCTGCCAGGCTTCCCTCCTCACCTGCTGTCCCCATTAGTGGCTCCCCCTCTCTCTCCAGCTCTGGGAAAGCTACCTTTCCTGGCCTCAAGCAGGGGCCTGCGGGGGGCTAGTGGCAGGGGGGTTCTCTGCAGGTTCTGTGGGAGCTGCAAAAGACTGACAGAATGCACTGGTTAAAAGCGTGAGCTGGAATGAGAAAGGATTGTCTGGGGGTGGGGGGACGGACACAGACTTCAAAGGAATGAAAATGGAGATTTGCCCTGACCTGACAATTAAGGGACTTGAACTCTTAACTCCTGCTCTCTTGCTAATGAGTTGGGGAGCCCTGAGCGTGGCACCCTGCTTCCAATGTTTTCTTTCTTCTTCTTGGTAAAATGAAAGAATCTACCTCTCGTTCTAAGATTCTTTTATAATTCTAACCTTCTGCTCACAAACTGGCGATACTTCATGAATGATAAAATGAGGTGCAGAGTGGGTGAAAGAAGACTTGTACTGGCTTTCAAGTACAGTTTTAGCTCATTTAGTTCTTCATTTATTTCCCAGAGGAAAAACTAAGGCAGAGAGAGGTCAGTCATGCCCAAAGCCACCCCTAAGGGATGCCTAACACTCGCCACTCATTAAAGGGGTGTGTGTGTGTGTGTGTGTGTGTGTGTGTGTGTGTATCGACTGCATGTTACCAGACTGAGTTTGTAGATTTAGCGCTTCCTGCTCTGTCATCAATACTTGCTTCACTTTATAAAGTCCCGTGATGCTGGCTAGGGAGTCAAATTCCCATTTCCCAGCGAGGAAGTGAAGGAAGCAGAGGGTAAATGACCTGACAAATGGAAGTCTGATTTCAATAGAGAGACCGACCAGTCATAGAAGCAAGCCCTCCCTTCACAGAGAAGTTGCCCTTGAGGCCTAAGTTACAAAACTGACTTTCCTCAGGAGCCCTATGGAGGCTAGTGGCTGTTGATTCTGGCCTTGACCTTATCCATATTGCCCTTTCAGGATTACACAAGGAAACCTGCAATAAAGAGGTTCACTTTCTCACTCTGATACCCCAATGCCCAGAGGAAATCTGGGCGAGGGGCATGGGTCAAGGAGCAAGAGAGGGGAGAGGGCACGGAGTGTGGTGCAGGTCTACGGAATGAGAGGTCACGGAGCACAAACAGACAAACAACGGGGTTGGAGGTGGGGAGCACATAGGAAGGGCAGGTCACAGGGTGGGCTAACTGGTGCTGAGGAAATAGCCTTGGAAACCCACTTTGTAATAAGCGTGCCTCCAAAACCCTCAGTCTGTATGCAGATCCTCCTAACAGCCGGACTCATGTTGCGAAAGGGCCTGCAAAACATTCAAATCCCCGGACTTGCTGTTTTCTCACCGCTCACTTAGCAAGTGGCTCTCAACCAGTCTGTTTTGATGAACGAATCTCCACACTTCTTTCAAATCCAAAATTGATTTCTTAGGGGTGCGGAGCAAAGTTCAAACAATGCACAAATATTTATCCAGAACTGGCTGTGTGTTGTCCAGGTTCAGGGAAGCAAGGTAAATTTAAAAGGTAATCAAAGAGCCCTTGGAGGTTGAAGGCTACTTTGTGTTTCTAGATGTGACAGCTTAGTCTTTCTCTAGCACCCATGTTGGAGGGACCCTCCAGGATCCAGAAGGGAAAATCACCCATCTGCTGGTTCTCTTCTAAGTGGATGCAACAGAACAAAGTCAGGAACATCTGAGTCTCCCAAATGGGTGTCAGGGCCCAAGCACCTGGGGCACTTTCTATTGTCTTCCCAGGCACTTTAGCAAGAAACTGGATCAGAAGAAGAATATATGGAACTCAAAGCACTGCTCAGGAATAGAATGCCAACATTTCAGAGCCTAGCTTAATCCACTGTGCTGTAAGGCGGGGACCCTGGCCTCATTCTTAAATATTGTTTTCTGCTTCAACTAACATTTTAGATCTGAATTTTATTTTTAAGTAGGAAAGGACCACTGCCTTCCCTATCTTGTCACTTACAGAACAAAGGAAATGTGCTTATCCATCACTCATTTTTTAAATTAATTTATTTTTTTATAGGAAGGGCAGATATACAGAGTGGAGGAGAGACAGAAAGGATGATCTTCCGTCTGATGGTTCCTTCCCCAAGTGACCTCAATGGATGAAGCCGAACCAATCAGAAGCCAGGAGCCAGGAACTTCCTCTAGGTCTCCTACACAGGTACAGGGTCCCAAGGCCTTGGATTGCCCTCGACTGCTCTCCCAGGCCACAAGCAGGGAGCTGGATGGGAAGTAGGGCCACCAGGATTAGAACTGGTGCCCATATGAGATCCCAGCACGTTCAAGGCGAGGACTTTAGCCACTATGCTATCGCACCAGCATTACTCATTTTTAGTTAGGAATGTTTTGAACCACCATACATCAGACACACACACAGGGAAAGCAAGAAAATACCATACATTGCTTCATAATGACAACCTGAAGAACACAAAGCAAGTCTGAAAAAAATTTGCTCACTGGCCTGGGTTTCCTTCTTTCCTAACTTTGGAGAAAATCTAATTATTTATTACATTAAGTAGTTTTCATTAGGCTCAGTTTAATTCTAGTTGCAACAGCTAACAGGAGAAGGAGGAAAGAAGAAAGCGAAGGGAAGAGGGAGGCTCTGCGGGAACGACTGTGGCAAGAATGGCCCTTTATTGCTCCATCACCAGCCACCTGCAAATGAGTGGCTTCAAACAACAGCCATTTCTTTTGTTCCTAAGCCTTCCTTTGGGCTGGGCCCAGCAGGGATGGCTGGCTTATGAATCCTGCAGTTGCTCTGCAGAGCAGGGGCCTCATCGCTAGGATGCCCCACTCACATAAAAGTCCTCGCGAGG